TAGGCAAATCAGTCCGCACAAAACATTGCTTTTCACTTACACTCGTGTCGTTTGTCATGAGTTTTTGGTGTCTTGCAAACTTGGGAATAGATTGGGCTTGTGCTGTATAACGAGATTTACGAAGATATGTTCATGTTGCTATAGAATAATCACGTTTGTGGTTTCTTAAAATAAACGATAGTTTAAAATTGATGATAATTTCTACATTCTGTGACATATTTCATAATTTCCCGCCGACTCAAATAATAGGTATGACACGGGTCAAAATCGGATAGACCTGAGAAGCTAATTTGGTATACAGAGATCCAAATATAAAACTTAAATTTATAACACTTATACCGAATCTCCATCGTGTTGCAGATTCGGTATAAGTTCAGTACAGCCTTGCACTATATACATCTTATTCTAGTTTTAGGTGATCTTTCCTAAAACACTGGGTGTGAATCCATTGGATAAGATAGTACCTACCTATGAATCTCCAAATTTAAATTTCAGTTTTCTTCAACAGCAGAACAAATTCAATACCTTGTGGCCGGCAGTACCGAAAACTATTCCCTAAACATATTTATTAATCTTTGAATTAAAACAACATACAGAAACTACATTCAATATAAATTATTCGCAACGCTTTCACCGCAACGCCTGCTTATATCACCGAGCAATTATTTCCATACCGAGTGTGAAACTTAATTAACTCGAATACCATATCTTTGCTGATTAACTTCGCCTTTAAACTCAGTTTACATAAGGAATAAATTACAACTTCACTCAATTATTCTGATTACGGATATCATATTGAGTTTATGAAGTAAAGGTCAATTGTGATTAAGGATTATTTGGTTTTAGAGGCGTTTGAGTATAAGGATGTTATGACATAGTAAGTTAATACAGTTGATTAAGATTGCCATTTTATAAAGACAAATTGCAGACAATAGGATGGCTTTCGAGTGCATGGGGTCTCAGAATTATTCAATGGATGGATCGATTGAATTTATGAGATTTCGGTTTTCTAAAATCTCATTAATGGGTTTGGGACTGAAATTAATGTTTAGCCATGCAATTTTGAATTAGAAGTTATAATAATTTAGCTGGTTGCAATACCCTGATCCTTTCTAAAACATAAAGATGATCTATTTAGCTACATGGTATTTTAATTTCAAGTGTTCTGAGTGTTATCCGTGAAACGTGTACATACGTGGACATTCAGTAATAATAATCAATCCAAACCATTGTTTCCATCAAATAGATGGATCTAATTTTGTATGCTGAAAAAGCTAACATAGAGTTTTAAAATGTTATTTAAGACCTAATTGCTAGGTAGCAAAGGTTTGTTCCATAGAAAAATCCTAAAAGGTCCTATCGTACACAATAGTAATCTATTGATTTAATCCTATCGTACACAATAGTAATCTATTGATTTAATTTTGAAGCTTTTAGGATATCGATATTTGCACAAAAAGTAACGTAACTGACCGTATCAATACTACAAAACTATTTCGAAGCCTACATAACCATTAAAATTCTATTGGTACACATAAAAATCACATTCATACTTCAACTGAAAAAACAAACGAACTCACTATCGAAAAAATTTAGTATTTATTCACAAATAGATTCGATGTAGGACTTTCAATTGTAATTGTTAAAAATACTGTTTTAGAGCCGATTTTTCACTGGTTTCGGTTAGTTTTTAAATGTAGAGGTAGAATAAAAATTGACAGTTGACAGTTTCTAGTATGGAAGAATACTCAAATATTGAAAGTTGTTCCTCAGTTAAAATTTAATTGAGCATTGTAAAATTGGCCCTTAAGGTATACAGTGTGTTGCGGAGAACCTAACGGGTTACAGGGCTCCGGCTCGAAGTGCAGGAGAAGGAACGGGGTGATTTTTAGTCAGTAAGAATCTGACATTCTCTTCCGCCTTACCCAGGCGGGAGCAGTCAATCGATGACTTTCCCCCCTTAAAAAAAGGTATAGAGTGTCATGTTCAAGTTGGATACATATATCAACAACCTATAAGTGCCCACTGCTGACTAAAGGCCTCTTCTCACACGGAGAAGGTTTGAGCATTAATCACCACGCATGCTCAATGCGGGTTAGCAATTTTAAACTTTTATTAAGAAGATATAAGTTTGTTTTCCTTACGATGTTATCCTTCACCGTTTGTCAGTGTTGTCTAAATAATTTTAGAAAGTACATATAACTCGGAAAAAGTCACATTGGTACTTGTTGTTGGTAGGTTTCGAACCAGCACCCTGATGCATCGGAAGCTTGCATCTTAGACCTCCGAGCCACCATGACGGTTATCAGGTTGGATAACCGGGTTGTACTTGCATTATTAGGTTTTTACTTTCAAATTTTCCAGTAATAAGTAGTGCCTTGGTTGAGAGGTCACAAGTGCGACTGCCAAGCACGAAGCTTATGGATAATTTCTAGGTTATGTTTAATTGTTTTTGGGGATTATTGGATTTTTTACTAATTCTCAGTGATAACATAAAATCTGGAATTGTGCCCGATAAACCTAAGGCTAGAGGTTCGCCATTTTTATAGGGGCTTATAATAACATAATTGGTGTCAAAGTTAAAGTCAAAATCATTTATTTTAATTAGAAAAGAAAGGCACTTTTGAACGTCAACAATAAAATTAAAAATGAAGCTAGGTGAAAAGTGGATTTTGCATTGTAAGTGGTTGTCTCTACTTATTTTTTTGCTGATTGAAAGCATTCATGCTATGTATTTAATTATGTACAATGTAGAATGTATATAAAAAAATCTAACTAAATTCGTTTCTCAATTTCATCAAAGGTCCAATTACTAGACATTTATAGTACTCAAGGTGTAATACAAATATTTGGACAGCTTTGTAAGTACCTTTGATGTCTCGCAAAGGGCACTACGCTGGTTGTAATAATACAATGACGAACTACTAGTTAGTTCCAAACTTTTGCCATTACAGACAATTTAGACCTAGACGAATTCGGTAGGTTTGTAATGAAATAATTCAGTATAGAATTTGGTAGCTCTTCGAGTCTTCGGTGTTTTGTGGAAATATTTGAGTATTTTGGGGAGTTCTGATACTTGGTATGCGGTAATCAATTCAAAATTTGTAGGTACCTTGTACCAGTGTAATGTGTAAATGTACCATAGTAATAGTGTTAGTAGCTTATTTAAAAATCACACTAATGGGTATTATAAGCGCTAAACTATGTTTGTCGATTGTCATGTATAGACGGAGTGAATTGATGTATACATTGGCGTGGATATAGTTAAGAAGCCGGTGAATAATACGAACCATTTTTTCGCTTAGACTATAAACGAAGTGATCATGAGTTTGTGGTATTTAAAAGTATGTCATTTATTTAAGTAATCCATCTACCAATAGAATACTGTTGAAGGCAAATCCTCCGCTAACGTCGGTCACCGGTGATCCCCATGCCATTTAATTTTTCCAAGTTCCATAGCCAAATCCTTTACTCAAAATCACAGGGATAGTAAATTATAAGTATAATACGGATATCCGTATTATTCTTATAATTTACTATCCCTGTACTTATAGTTTACTATCCCTCGTACATATATATGTACGAGGCCAACAGTACATGATGCGGTGTTCTACTAAAGTGATATTTACGGTGTGTTTGCCTGCATACCTGGTCAGTCCACGTCACTATCAATTAGGGAATTAGTCACTTTAACAAGATTATATTTATAGTCAGGTTATTATGATTTATTTTTGCTATGTGATACATTTTAATTTAAACCTTGCGGTTACAGTAGAATAGATCATTTGTCGTTTTTTGTTCCAATGGTGTCGTTAGAACTGAGTATGGGAGACTGCAGATTGGACAAAGCCCGGGCCACAGAGTTCTCTGTCAAACTTACTACCCAATTGCATTCCTCCAATTTAAAACCTTTAGAACTGCAATCCTCCGTTTAACTTGGAAATGATGACAAACCTTCTCATGTGGAGAAGGCTTAAGGATAACCTATATTTAAAAAGCACGGCTCCAACTCAGCCATTAAGTTGTCATTTAAATATGAACTTTAAATCGTATGTCGTATCATACATTTCATTACGTTAAATACAAAAAGCCGACGGCGGGTGGTCATCGCGCGGTCCACTCGAGGTGTAATCGAGGCTTACGGCGCGATGTCGGCGAGGCGAAGGCGCGCCGCCCACCAGACGCCAGCGAAACAACGTCGAACCTAGGTAGATATTGTTGAAAGATTTCACCTCGTGGCCGGCGTGCCGTCAGCGCGCCGGCCGCGCTCTGACCGCGAGTTGGAAGCGCGTGATCACCGCGATGAAGCCGCGCCGGAGTCATACTTTTTAAATGTGGGATGATTTTTATCATTGCCCAGTAATAGCTGTTATGTTATTTAAAAAAAAAAAAAATCTTGTGTTTTGTTTAATTTTTGTAACGATGCATGTAGACTGTTTTTCTTTCTTTCTTTCTGATAGACTATGGTAGGTTATTAAGGATACTTAATACCGTTAAACCGTTTGGTTTTGGATCTCAATAAAAAATGTACACATTTCGCTGAACAGTAAGTAAATGATATTTATAATATTTTAAATTATTTATACACACATTAACATAACATTAATTCATCAATAAAGTTATATAAAAATACTTAAATTTAGTTTTAGTATTATCATACGTAGATACAATACTGCTAAAATATAACTAAATTCGCAATATTTTAGTCTGATATTAAAAATAAAAGAGCATTCACAACAAATTATTATAGGTACAAAAAACAAAACAATTTTACAAGAATATACATTTAAAATATTGCGCTCAATTTTAAATAATATTATTTATACCTGTTTAATAATTCTGTGTGTACCTCACACCTCAAATTCGATAAAATTTCTTATACAGTCTAAATTCACGATTGGACCCGATAGATAACATAGCAATTACTATATTAGCATTGTCTTTATATACATATATATTAGGTATATATTCTAGAGATATAATTAATAGAGTATAATTGTCTATGCGGGCATTACAGGGATATCCCCGGGCAGGGGCGGAGTATTGGGCACGTTCAGTCTTTTCTCTTTCTCATCCTTCTTGTGTTGGTGGTAGAACCATCTGGAATATGAAGAATTTTAATTAGTAAACACGTTGATTTTTTATTAGACTGAAATTAAGAAAGGCTTTGGAACCTGGAGCTGCGGACGACCTAGCGTGTTACCAGAACTTCGATTAGAAGCAGGTGAAGGAACTGGCTGGTTTATAGTCATTAAGAGTCTAATAGTCTAAAACTTCCTCTCGCCTCAAGCAAGGCGGGAGAAGTCATTGGATAATTCCCTCAAAAATAGAAACTGTAATGAACCTCTTACATCAAACTTCTAGATTTCCGATTACTATTAAAAGTTTGGAGCACAAAGTAAATAACTTCTGTCATTCGACCATAAACATTCTACAATTTAAAAAACAATGAACGTTACAATTGTCTCAATACAGGTGCTAAAGTTTACAAACATTCACATTGACATTTTGACAACATGGCGTATTGAATTCTATTGCTGTTATAAATAAGCATGCCCTTTGTTTGGCAGTTAAAACATTAAACAAAATTCCTATGATGTCAATTGCAACTTTGTTTTGTTCAACTATCTTCTTTTGTTTATGGACTGATCGTCAGATATATTTTTTATTTAAAAATATAGTTAAATAAAATATAGTAAGAATTCATTTAAAAATATTTCAAGACGCCTGGTCGACTTGTCTCGTGACCAGAGGGCTGGTCTGTTCCTCGGTCAGATGTTAATAAGCATTGTCATAAAACTTGGGAATGCTGCCAGCCTTCTGGGTACTTTCCCTGTTGACATCGATGCGGAAGAATTTTTTGACGCTCTTTATAAGTACATAGTTATCGCGCTCGAAATATTTTTAGTTTTCTTTTATATCCTTTGTAAGTGGTTTTTAAGTTTTATAGTTTTAAATGTTTTATACCTATTAGTAATACCTAAAAGAAAAAAAACTTATTTTTCATTTGACTTTGAAAACTAATTATTATGTTTTCGGCATACTCACGTACTGTTTGTAAGCTGTCGAGCTGTTACTGTCGTCGTGACACGCGGAATGTTGCTAATAATTATGAGCCTCTAGCATAGCTTGAAACTAGTCGAGTTCCTCGTCAAACAATACGTGAGTAAGCCGAAAATATAGTAATTAATTAGTATGTCTCACGAAATTTTAATATAGACTTTCTAAATGTTGTTGATTAAAGTGCCTCTCATTTCAACCAGGTATCAAAATTTATGAAGGAACATTAGAATATAGTTACCTAATCATCACGTGAGAGTTGTAACAGCCGACTAAGAGACGACATATTAAATGGATACTTGACAGTAATGTTCTCTGATACACTTGATCATTTTTACCAGCCTGCCAAGTAGTGATATCCCCCCTTTTATAAAGGAAGCCAATAGAGTATTCTTACGGGCTAAGTAAAACCAAAATTGAGATTCCTTGCTTGCCAATCAACTTGCTTACCACAACTTGACCATTTACACAACGAGGCAAATAAAACTTAAACTCGAGTACTAGTACACTCCATCTTGGAAATGATGAAGAGCTTTTAATATCACTTTTCTTTGATAAATAAATGTAAAAATATACCGCAGATGTTAGCTCAATACCTAAGCTCTGAGAAAACAGGTCCCCTCACCATCTGGTTGCGAATAACGCATTATGAGTTGTCGCTGAATAAATAAATGGATAAGAATTTCTAGAATATTCTGTTTGCCTTTTGATATCATCCATTTTATCGGATTATAAACGGAGGTTGCTTTATATTTGTACCGATATTGGTTTTAAGTAATGGTTTTCTGAAAGTTCCCGGAAATTTCAAACCTCTGTTAATATTTGTTTATATTGTTCTAGAATTAAACTGCTTCGTTGGTTGAGATGCAAGTTTTACTTCCAGATATATTTTTTTATGGCATTAGCCGGTAAACGGCTCAAATCAGACGGATCACCTGATGGTAAGCAATCGGCGTCGCTCATGGACATCTGGAACACCAGAGGCGTTACAAGTGCGTTACCGGCCTTTTGAGGATTAGGAGTTTGAGGATCTAAATCTAGATTGCTATTCTTACTACACCAAAGTAATTGTAGGATATTTACCCAAAAATTCCAAGTGCAGGTATGGTAGCGATGACACTGACGAGGAACACGGTCCCTGGTAACACAGTCAGTGTTGCTATGTATATCCTGGAGTACAGCGGCGCGAATATGATCGGCATCACCGTCTCCGCCACACCGAATAATGAAAACACCTTGCCTGGAAGATTGAAGATAGTAATTTGATTAGAGTTTTCAGTTTTTAGAGATAATTTTAATGATAGTGGGAGTTATAATAGTTTTATTAAGTTTTATTATTAGGTAAGTAAATTTTTTAAAGGTTCCTTCTGTAGTAACATAACATAACATCACACTTTTTTATCCCCGAAGTTGTAGGCCCCCACTTGTGACTATTTATGAGTCTCACGTAAAAATAGGTTCTGAACCTATTGCCATATACGATCACATTTCCAGACTCCGTGCTACTACTGAGATTTTTTTTAAAACCCAGTAATACTTTTGTCCGACCCGCGACTCGAACTTGAGACCCCTTGCCCAGTAGTCGCACTTGCGACCACTCGGCAACCGAGGCAGACGTTCAAAAAACTACAGGGTTAACCGTTCAATATTTAGAATTGGAAAGGAAGAAAAGAAAGTAAACATTGACATTCAACACTAGTCATTTGTGACTAAGACTTAATATGAAAGACTCAAACAAAGCATCGACTTACCTAATTCTTGATATGTGACTAATTTAGAAGCAATCGAACGTAGAGCTATCGCCGAGGTGCCGTTCAAGATTTCCAAAAGTGGTGCTGTAATAAAAAAGTAGCATTAAAACTAAATCATTATAAAATGTCGAATGTAAATGGACTGCAGTTGGACACATGTCACCAATACTTTGGAATACTGCCAAACTTTTGAACGTCGTTTTGCTATTAGTATAAATGTAGGAGCCGTTTTTTGTGAAAAAAAGGATGGCCGACTTAAGAATAGAATTTAAGAATCGCTGAGCATAATTGAATGAAATTATTGGTCAAACTTCAAACAATTATAACCGCACTATATTGAATACGGCAAACATGTCTCGCACTTTTTTCACTGTTACCCGCTATCTGAGAACCTAACGGGTTACCGGGGCTCCGGCTCGAAGTGCAGGAGAAGGAACGGGGTGGTTTTTAGTCAGTAAGAGTCTGACACTCCCTCCCGCCTCACCCAGGCGGGAGCAGTCATTCGATAATTTTCCCCCCTAAAAAACCCGCTATCTTGAATGCGATTATTTTATTGTGTGTACACGTGTGTTTGAGCAAATAAATAATCATTTACCTATTAATATCATTTATCATAAGTTATTTAAATGAAATAACATATAGGTAATTTTGAAACGCTTAATCGAATTTGTTCGTCAGTACATCTATTAATTAGAGTACTAAGCGTTCAGATGCTTCAAACAATACGAGTATATAACTAACATCCATACATTACAATAATTTAATTGAATAAAATTTATTTTATTAATTTTGACATTACATTAATATCGAACAGAATGGTCTGCCTCTCTCCTACCAATTTTAATTCTTGATGTGTCCGACAGGGTCCATAATCTAAACTGTGTGTGATGTAATAAATACTTTGTTACTTGATTGTATACGTATTTGTTAACAAGCACGAACAAAGAACTAAAGAAAGAAAAAAGAACGCACGAAAAAAAGGCACGATGCAGCATAAATAAAATATAAAAAAGACAATAAAGGTGTCATCGGAAGTAATAAAAACAAAGAGTTGAAAAATTAAAACAGAAGGATTAGAAGAGAGACGCTGACAACATGCCTATGCTAACTATTCGATATGCTGTGTAAATCGAACCTGATATTTTTAGACATGTATCATTTATATACGCAAAACCACCCCGGCATTACCTCAAATCTGTATTTGTTGTATTTGTAACGAGTTTCTTTAACCTGTGTTGTAAATAAAGAAATAAACAATTCGTGAAACAAAATGCACGATTAAGTAATGACAATGCACGTGGTTAAATCTTACGAACACAACACTCGAAGTCACGATACTGTTATCGTTATCGTTATTACCACTCCACTAGAGGCCAGTCTGGTCAATAACCAATAATTCCATCCTTTGATTACTGTGCGATAATTGCAAAATCTATACTTGCAGTAAATAGACAAGAATCAACAGTAGTGGGTACTATTGCGATACATGATGGTAAATTTGAAATCGCCAACCCGCATTGAACAAGTGTGGTGATTAATACTCAAACCTGTGAGAAAGGGGCCTTTGTTGTGCAATGGGTGATATTGAAGCCAATACTTACATAAATATGCTTCATAGTCATTCCTAGCGAATGCGAATACAAGGGCTCCGCATATCTTACTGCTAGTAGAAATGATTCCAAGTACTGCATCATCTGCCTTCAGCTTCTTACTGAACACGCTGATGGAAAATAGTGTTCCTGGTGGAAGAAAAGTGCATATTAGAAAGTGATACATTACATTAGTTTTAATTTTTTCTCTCATGTCTGCGTAGAGTTACTCTGTTACTTATAGTATGATATTTTTATTAGAAAAGATTTTCTCTTAAATTATTTTATTCTAGTTTTTGTCTATCAAAGTGAAATGGTTTATAATACAGTGGAAATTAAACGAAGGATTTTAATTAACTTATTAGTTTTCACTATGAATTTATCACCATAAAATATCTTTTTAGAAGATGACAAGCCCCTTAGCGCTAGCTATTTCAGTAATGAGCTTTTACAATAGTTATTTTGGAAAATAGTCAGGTATAGTTCGAAATTAGTGCCAAGAGACTAATTTGTTACAACTCGACCTTTTGAAGTCAAGTTGAACATAAATCTGAATTAAAATGATGACAAAATAGCAATATATATTGTTTAGACTTAGTAATTAATAGTTATTGGTTTCTAAAATGTAATTCGTAATTTACGCAAAATTACCTTAAAGGTACTTAAATAGGCACCAATTACTTATACACATAACATAACATCACGCCTTTTTATTCCCGAAGGGGTAGGCAGAGGTCCACATTACGGCACTTAATGCCACTGTACAATGTAACACCCACTTTTCACTATTTATGTTATGAGTCCCATGTAATATGGGATGAGCCTATTACCGTATACAGGGCACAATTCCAGACAACGTGCTACTACTAAGAGTTTTTAAAAAACTCAATAATACTTGGCTCGACCCGGGAATCGAACCCGAGACCCCTTGCTCGGCAGTTGCACTTGCGACCACACGGCCAACGTGGCAGTCTAAAACTTATACACAAGATAGATGATTAATATTTTATAGGTAAGTTGAGGTTGTATGTGATTTTACGTTATGAAGGTTGCATTCTAGCGAATCTAGGACATGTTTAACAGTCAGTCATTAAAACTGCGAATTAATATTTCGTTAAGAATATCAGTTTCCTTATTGACTAAAAAGTTCCAATGCTAAAAAAAAAAATTAGCTCCATTGATCACTTACCGACAGAATGCGTGATAAGACTGTAGGTGGAGAAGATGCTGTACTTTACTTCATCCCAGTTGAAGCGATATCGAGTGAATATGTATATTACACTCATTTCACCTGTGAACAAATACAAAATTAATGACGATGCTATCGAAGGAAATGTGGTTTATATGTATTTTCCTAAAAATCCTTTATTTCTAGGAATGTCTGTAATAGACGCTGCACAGCAAAAACTTCAGACCTGATCTATTTAGAGTAACGGAGTCATTGGTTGCGGTAACCACTTAAAAGTTATTTAGCATTTATAATTTAGGTAATTTTTTTATGGCCTAAACCAGTACTCGAGCGGACGGATCACCTAATGGTAAACAATCGGCGCTGCTCTTGGACATCTGAAACCCCAAGGCGTTCAAGTGCGTTATCGGCCTTTTTGGAATTGGGAATTTGAGGATTTTGGAGGATTCGGGGATTGGGGAGACTTGGGGGTAATTGAGCCTGCTGTAACCGCACTCACACGACGAAACACAACGCAAGCGTTGTTTCACGTCAGTTTTCTATGCGGCCGTGGTATCATTCCGGTCGAGCCGACCCATTCGTGCCGAAGTATCATCAACAGCCTATAAATGCCCACTGCTGAGCAAAGCCTCTTCTCACACGGAGAAGGTTAGAGCATTAATCACCACGCTTGCTCAATGCGGGTTGGCGATTTCAAACTTATAATTAGAAATTATAAGTCCAGGTTTCCTCACGATGTTTTTCCTTCACCGTTTGTCAGTGGTGTCTAAATAATCTTAGAAAGTACATATAACTCGGAAAAAGTCACATTGGTACTTGCCGTTGGTAGGTTTCGAACCCGCACCCTCATGCATGAGAAGTGGGCGTCTTAAACCTCCGGGCCACCACGACATTTTTGTCGTGCCGAAGTATGGCTCCCACATTTAAATATTTTGTTCTTTAGATAATAACATTAATATTTCGATGCGGTATAAATATTTATTCAGCGGTATACAAGCATACATGTATCGATAGATGGATGGATATTCTTCAAAGAAAAAAGCAATATTCCTTCTACGCACACAAATAAAAAGTAGGTATAGAAGAAGAAAGTTATGAAATGTAAATAATGTCTGGTGTAGGGAATGATGTAAGACTTGAACTCCAGTAAAGCAATCACCTAGGACGGTTGCCTTGTAATTTCCCAAGAGATCCAAGAACTACCTTCCACTATGAATGACGACTCATACTTTGAACTTTTCATATACATTTTTTTTTTTATTTATTTTCGGAAAATTCTATCTGAACTGTGATTAGGAAGTAAGCTGTGTTTGTCGCATTTTTCTTAGTAAGTAAAGTAACTATGAATGTTTTACTCTTATATGAATTTAAAGGTATCTATTCACACAGGTAATGCCTGGTCGGGATTGTGTAGAACCACCAGAGTTACCAGGACTTCAGTTTGAACCAGGAGTTGGAACGGAGTGGTTACAGTAAGAGACTGAGACTGTGTTTCGCAGGGTGCGATGAACAATTTGTTGATCTTTGCAATGAGATTGAATTGTCTCTCAAAATCGAGTTTTAGAGTATAGAACTGTGTTGTGAAATTATGGTTCGGTGACCAATTTCAATACTTTTAATGACTTACAAGTTTCTGTTGTTAAATAAACACTCATTTATTCGTTTCAACGTTCATTCTTTATGCATTCCACGTATATTGTTGTTTTTGGTATAGTTGGACTATGTACCTACATGAAAGAATATGTCAACGCACCTACATATACATAGGACATAGGAAAATGCGCTAAGAGGAAAAATATGCAGTGGGTAAAAACCCATAACCTCATATATTTAGGATCTAATCAATAAATTCATAATATTCTTTAGTCGACGAAAATCATTGCATGCAAATTACAGCCCTCAAATCAATTGGGAAAATACGAGGAAAATTAAGTATTACTAACTAAGGAGATAAGGTCTATAATCGTGTGTTAATGTGCTATTTATTTAGATAAATCGTCCAAAGGTAACCGACCGCAAACCGCAATGTTACTTACGTTATACGTGTTAAGTAATATCTTTTACAAATATTTATTTATAAGAGTATTTTTATTAATAAAATGTCTGCGGTTAACATTTTTACACTGACTACTTATAGAAGTGAAATTATTGTTATAAAATATTTACTTTTCCATACATTTATCACGGTCTTTTTACCTAGGTATATGTATACATATGTCTAAAATTAATGAAATAGCTAAATCTGAAAGATAATTTTAATCTTCTTATTTTAATTCTTAAGACTATGACTGCCAATAAAAAACTGTTGAAGGTAAATCCTCCGCTAAGGCCGGTCACCGGTGACCCTCCATGGCGTTTAATGTGTTAAAGATAAGTTTATCAACAGCGATATGTAGGTTATGATCTAGAGTCTAGATCATATTCTCTATTCCGCCGTTTATGCGTGAAAGAGCAACAAACATAAAAACACACACACACACACACACACACAGAGACAGACACACAACTTTCACATTTATAATGTTAGTAGTAGAATTTACTTTTCCATATAGGTACCACGGGTTTTTTTTACTTAAGTAACGCAATGTCTGGAATTAATGAAATAGCAAAATTTTGTTAGGTTTTGACTGTCTCATTGGCCGAGTGGTCGCAAGTGCGACTGCCGGGCAAGGGGTCTCGGATTCGATTCCCGGGTCAGGCAAATTATTACTGGGTTTTTCATAAAATTCCCAGTAGTAGCACGGAGTCTGGAATTGTGCCCGGTATATGGTAATAGGCTCACCCCCTATTATATGGGACTTATAACATAAATAGTGAAAAGTGGGTGTTACATTGTACAGTGGCATAATGTACACCTCTGCCTACCCCTTCGAGGATAAAAGGCGTGATGTTATGTTTTGACCATTGCAATGATCTTAATCTCAAAGACCATGCTAAGTAAAAAATTTATTTAATTATTATGTTGGCTTACTCACGACAGTTATGTTTGACGAGTAACTCGACTAATTTCAAGCCATGCCAGAGTAGCAACGGAACAGTCGCCGCGTCGCGGGTCGCGGAATGCTGTTTATGAATATGAGCCTCTAGCATGACTTGAAACTAGTCGAGTTAGTTGTCAAACAGTTACGTAAGTAAGCCGGAACCATAAGAATTCATTAATATGTTTTACGAAAGTTTTAATATAACCCTGTATTTATTATGATAATGTTTCTTTAGAGTGTTATATTTACCTATATGAATTCTAATTGGCGTATTGTAGGTATGGTTGTTTCGATTTTAATCCTTCATAAATCTGTTTAATTAGGTATTTTATTGCTACAGACAAAAGGCCAAGGAATTATCATCGTGGGTGGCATAGATATTAAAGTAAATTAAAGCAAATATTGTACGATAAGTAAATAGTAATTGATCATTCATTATAATGAGATATAATACAAGTTATTGTGATTTGTATAACAATAATCTTCATAGCACACACAGATTGTGTTTATTTAAACTAAATTATTTTGTATACATGCATTACTTAGATGGATCTAACATTTTATTAGTGACTAGCTGTTGCCCGCGGGTTTGTCCGCGTAGAATATGAATTTTAGGAAATAACTTTCTATTGTTTCACTTTTCCAAAATAGTATGTTACTTCTTAGTACATCAGCTACCTGCTAATAAAAGTCCTTTTAAAATTGATCCAGCCATTCCAGAGATTAGCCAGTACAAACAAACAGACAAAAATTGTATAAAAAATAATTTAGTAGTACACTACGCTTTTTACTATTTTACTAAATATTGTAATATAATAAATAATAATAAAAATAAAACTGGTGAAAAGGAGGTGTGTTTCATTTAAAATGTACCATCTGAACGTAGAGTTTTTTGATGATGAAAATTCACGGGATAACAATAATGAATCGGCAATTCAAACTAACATACTGCATATATTACTTTACTAGTTGAACACGCGACTTCGGTTGCGTGGAATAGTCTTGGATAGTTCTTCACAGGTCTTCTCCTGTAAGTGATAGCATGATAATATGTAGTATGTAGCCTATATGTTGCCCCGGCCTATTAGTAATATTCATGAAAAATTTGAAGTAAATCCATGCAGTTCTTTTTGAGTTTAGTCCGGACATACATACAGACAAACAGACACAAATTCTAGAAACCATATTATTAGTTTCGTTATCGATTGTAAATGACTTGTGAAGTATTCTTCAAAAAAAATATTCAATGTACCTACAGCTTTGACTGTCCTACGATTTTTTTATAGCATAAGCCGGTAAACGAGCAGACGGATCACCTGATGGTAAGCAATCGGCGTCACCCATGGACACCTGGAACACCAGAGGTGTTACAAGTTTTGTTGTATTATTTTTTATTTATTTAAACTTTAATGTACACAGAAACAAGTAATAGTACATAAGGCGGACATTAATGCCATATGGCATTCTCTCCCAGTCAACCTTAGGGTTAAATTGAAAATCGGCGAAAAAATAGGCATGTGTTAAGAAACAAATTACATAAATAGACTTTAATAAATATAGATAGGTACAAAAAATATTTAAAATGTACACTACAATATAAATACAACATAAATATATAGGTATATATAGAGGTATGCATGCTCGTATATATATATATATATACTAAATAAATAAATTCTATAATAATACATATATAATAATAATAGACCTAGACTCAGCGTTGTAGTGACTTTAAAAAGAATTCGTGAACATCGCGTTTGAAAGTGATCTTATTTGGAGCCTTTTTTATGTTAAGCGGTAGTGCGTTCCATAACTTAATTACACTAACTGTGAAAGAGTTAGAAATGAAGGATGTTCGGTGGGACGGAATCTCAAGAAGCAGATTTTCAGCAGAACGGAGATTACGGCTGTGAGAACTGCCCAGAACCCGTCTATATTATGTATAGATATAATCCAATAGACACGTGTTGAAGCAGTTTCAGATAGAATTATCCCACGGAAGCAAAGTACTATGGTATAAAATATTCACCCTTCTACCAAATGAGGCCAGACGGTACAATTGAGCCGTCAAGTGTCAGTATTCATTCATCAAAATTCAAATAGCTTCTAGCTAGTCAATTA